AACCTGTTTAGAGTCTATATTTTGTATACCTCTAACGCGTTTGTATTTATCACTATTCGGACATTCAATATAAAGGTAGACCAATAGGTGGTCTGATATAGAAGGTAGACGAACTATTTGTTGAATTAATGACTCATCCCGAATTACTTGATTCAAACGATAGTCACTCGAAATATTGATCAAAAACGTAGAATCAGCACTGTCTGTATTAAGAAAATTTATATTCAGGTCACCCATATATTTGAGTTTATCCGCAGTAGGGTTTAATTTTGCAAGAGTTTCATCCAATTCTGATAAACATTTGTACTCCTAACTAACTAAATAAATTAAAAATCATATCCTAGTCGATCTGCGTGATTTGCTTGATCCAGTCGAGGTAGTGCGCGACCTTGACATTAACACCACAACACCAGGCGCGCACAGACTTTTCTACAGCCTATACCAGAAGTGGCGATTCCAGGACTTGCCAGGTGCTACCTCGCTCGCAGACCATTGGACCACCTCCATCTCCTTCACAAGCATCCTTGCCAGGAAAGCCTGGATGAAGTTTGAAGACATACCCTAGTATAGTCTGGTGCGTCTGCCTCTCATATAGTCCATCTTTCAACACTTCTTCAAGGATGTTCTGGAAACAGTGAAAACATCGATTGGCAGGTATGCCTATCAAATTGGTATCGGAGAGGGTCTTTGAATTTATGCACAGGTCATTTCGAAAACTAATTTTAATCAAACACAACGTATGTACAACAATAATTTAAAGTTATAAATAATAATCCTAACTAAATAAATTATAAACCCTATCCTAGTAGATCTGCGTGATTTGCCTGATCCAGTCGAGATAGTGAGCGACCTTAACATAAACACCAGGGACACCGACTTGTCCACAGCCTATCCCCCAACTGACGATTCCAACAACTTGCCAGGTACCACCTCGCTCACAGACCATTGGACCACCTCCATCACCCTTGCAAGCATCTTTGCCTTCCTCTCCTCCAGCACAGATAAAACCTGGATGCAGTTTGAAGTCGTACCCTAGCCTAGTCTGCTGCATCTGCCTCTGGCAAACTCCATCGTTCATCACTGGTACGTCAACTTCTTTAAGGATGTTCTGGTACTTTCCAAAGTCGCCAAAAGCGTCTTTGCCCCAACCTGTGGTCCAACAACGGGTTCCAGTGTAGTCATCACGAGGGTGTGGTAGACAAGCGGGACTGATGTGAGGGTTCTTGGCAAAGTCAACTGGTTTGTCGATTCGCAGTACTGCTATGTCGTTGTAGAGAGTTCCAGCGTAGAACTCAGGATGGACGTGCACTGATGTGACTTCTCGCTCTATGTAAGGGTAGAATTCGACATCGTGGTTAACGTCCCATTCACCCAAGCGGACCCTCAAATCAAAGCCATGGTACCTAGAAGAAAAGGAGTTGTTACTAGATCAGGCTAACTATATGGTATAGGCGGATCTTACAATGGATTTATATTTTTACGGAAAAATAAAAGGGTTATCAGAAGTATAACAAATGTTGCTGGATATTTTTTTTAAGCGCGAAAGATGTAAAATATGCTTTTCCTCATGTATAGAAAAACTATGAAATATTGTTGCAGGTGGTCTATAAATATATCCCAGAGGATGAAAAGACTTACTGCAGCGGCTGCCATTAACTTGAAAAAACTTTTTGGCAGTTATACATTTTGTTAAATGTTTATTTTTGGTGATTCTTATATGACTATAATTTTGGTTATTATTTTATATCTTCTGTTATGAGCCATTTAGTAAGAAATAATTTTGAAAATTGTCGATTTAAGCAAAAACTATCGCTGCAGCAAATCGAATATAAAAGTCTCATTTTGAATGATCTACAATTTTCTTCTGGAGCAGTTTTACCAATACTTGGTGGTTTTTGAAATATCAAGGAGAAGTTATTTATTTAACTCCAGTTACAGTTAATAATAAAGTTACACAGCATTTCTTATACCCTTAGCAAGATACAATGTTGACAACGAAATAATCGCTCAAAAGTTTCAATGCCTAATAGACAAAAAAATTTAAAATATACTTGAAATGTTTGCTCTTAAATATTGTTATGCATCTGAGATATCGAAAAGACTGGCCTGATGATATTCGAAATACTTTGGAACTTCTACGACAAATATGAACTGTACAAGGAGTTCCCTAAGCATGGAGAAAAAAATCTAGAGCAGGTCTTTGGACAATTTCCAGCTCTCTTTAGTTCTTTGATGGTTTAGGTAACGCTTAGTTACAGATGTATGCAGAATGTTCCATTCTTAAATAGATAAAGCGAAATGGTCCATGACAAAGACTTTATCTAAAAATAAAATAGTTCTGTATCCAGTTGTTACGGATTTACCTAAGCGCGTCAAATTTTTAGCATCTGATAACTCAGGCACAATTGAATCGATTTTGTTGAAATGAAGCTCAATAACAAAAGTTACCTAGGAGTAACGTGAAACTAGACAGGCCGTTGAATGATTCAGGGCCGATTTCTACTTTTTGTTTTTTTATGAGAACCAACACCTCTGCAGCTGGATGTTGAAATTTTTAATGATGTACAAAGATATCCAATGAGTGATGCTAACTGATTAACAAAATATATTGATTACGCCTCTTTTGGTTTTTTGGTTAAGCATTTTTGTTTATTCAAATATCTTATTTTTATAAGTTTATGTGACACAAAACTCAAAAGTCAACTTGGTTTCAATCAAGATCTTAAAAGATAATGCTTAAAGTTGGACTGAAGATACTTTGATAACTCAAAATACCATGGTCGGACTCTTATTTCCTTGTATTTTACTAAGTGTAACACCCTGTAAGTTATACAGAACTTATCATTATTTTGCAGAAAAAGTAGACATGATATAAATAAAAGGAAAAATCAATGTTATGCTCCCTATTTACTTGTTTTCGGGATTTATCATCTGATACTGTAAACGTGAGTTCTTGCTAAAAAGGGTAACGGCATTTAATATGTATTTCAACTGAACTCGACCTTCTAGATTCTAGACCAACTTGAATTTCAGTCAAACATTTACAAAAACATGGTATGCAGGTTGACAGTTGACATTTATGTTTGTAGTGTATGTACCATATGTGTATTATGCAAATGAACCTAACATATGGTTGTGATGAGAGCACGTAACTGCAAATACACTAAAAATGCTGAGTCCGGACCAGTATGTTAGGTGTTTCTATATTTCCATCATAATCTTGAATTAGTCTCGAGAGGCAAATTTAGTGCATTTTCATACTAAATGCTGTTTCCCCTTAAAGCAGGACTCTTGTTGTATAACATCAGTTGATACAATTAATAAAACATACAATAATATCGATTCAATAGTGCCTAAGATATGTGATATTGAAGATTTGGCATGTTTAGATAAAAACTGAATTTAGAACTTTTTTATTTTCAGATGTGAAAAGCTCTCGATATATACTACCTAACTATGTCCATTTAACTTTGCAATACCCTGTATAACGAACAGGATTTTTTCTAATTATTTGAGAAACACCAAGGTCATTTCTTACTGAAATGCATCCAACAACCCCTTGAATTTTCCTCCGTGCTTTGGGACACATTTTAGAGTATACAATCAAAATTTTGAATTTACCTAAAACGCAAAAATCGTATTGCTAAAAAGTCTAAAAATCGAAATGGTACTCACGTTTTGACGCAATGTGCGGCAGTGATAATGTGCAAGGAGTCAATAAGGGTACCACCACACACGTAGACACTCTCCTTAGGATCTTTCTTCAATATGGCTACTTGCCATGGGTACTCTCCGAACTCGCTGTCTCCATCTACGTACACTGGGTTCTTAATACGGCCGTTGATGCCTTGCGAATGTCTGGTACCGCATTGACGGTTGACTTGTTGAGGTACTGCAGGTCTTGTGGGTCGTTTGCAACATACATGCCTTGGTCCGCAGGTCTGTGGTCGGCCACTGCTAAATCCATTCCCTCCGTAGAACTGACGCTGAAAGCAGAGAAATGATTGTTGGCTTTTTCTTAATTTTTGCTTGAAACTTCACAAAATGAAGTCACTATGATGTCCGCTATTACGAAATGAGTTCCAGGAATGGAAATGTTTTTATATGGGATGATTGGAAAACAATGGCAACATTTCTAAAGCAGAAAATATAATCATCCAAAATATTCCCATAAACATATAGGCACAAAAATATGTCGTTACCAAGATGCAGGGTGTTGTAAACTTATGTACCACTGAGCTTAATTGAGGACAGGGCATAAATATTCGTCAAATAACGCTTATATATTATGTACAGTTTTCATTGTCAAACTTCGTCAACTCCAGCGGATTATCAAATTAGCACTGATTTAGGTTTTCTAAGCGGGTTCTACTTCAAATATCCATACTAATTTCACTAGAGAAAGAAATGTCTGACAAATATTACCCAAAAATGTGGTAGACAATTCATAAAGTCAGTGGTGTAGACAATATTAATGCTTTTACTGTAGTTTCTACGCCACTCCTGTAGGTTGAGCCACAGATTGATTTTATTGGTTAGGCTGCCATTTACAGGATAGTCTAAAACTCCATTTACTCTGGATATAGTTTTTAATAAATTTCGAAGTTATAACTTCAACGTCCTGTATCTCCGTAAAGAGGTATTTTAAAACCCATGTTTACATGAACTTTTTGTTCATTTTTGGACATACTTTCTGCTCTTCAAATATTATCACTGTTTCTTCAATCACTCTGTGCAGATCACAATCTGAAAGATGATCATTATGACCTGTAACTTAGGTTTTTATGCTTCAAGTCTTAACATTTTTTTATTATGGTGGATGTGCACGATACTGAATACACGACACATCCACCACATAGTTGCATAAATGCACTTTCACCATTTATTAGCGTCTATAATGTGGAATACTACACCAGAAAGAGCCATCTGATGGCGAATGTCACACGATAAATAATTATTGTGGTTACCATCAGTATCAACTAATCATTTCGTCAGTATCAGTGGATTTCTACGTAACCTTACACATCAATAGAAAATCGGGAGAAAAGATCAGGCTCATAGAATCATGTACCATCGGGACTATGCACCTGCTCAAACAAGACACCTAGCAATGGCAAACATTGGTAAATATGCTTCAAATGCCTTAAAACCTATTTGTTTTCATGTAAAAAGTACAAGTGGAGAAGACAAACATGGGGATCATCGAAATAAAAATCACAGGACAATTTTGAGATGTTAAATCAACTTTTTTCATGTAGGGTTCAGATGGTTTTCTAATTATTTGGTGTGATAAAGATAAGTGAGAGTGTATTTCAATGCGTGTGCTTCTGCTTAAAAAGAAGAGAACTAGTCAAATAAATTTATGATTTTGGCATATCAACGTACCTTGGTGAGTTCCCGAATAGTCACGTCGTCTGACACGTCTCGTCTTTTTCTGGATGATGGAAACTTGACAGGATTTAAGGAGGACGGTGCAGCGGATTGCAAGTTAAGGCTTTTACCACCACGGTGGTTCGCTGTGTCGTCAGAGTTTCTGTCATTTCCATAGGTTCTCAGTCCATTGTCATACTGTTCTTGATATTGCTCTAATAAACTGTTACCGCCCACATAGTCTGTACTGTTATGGTAAGCTCGACCATAAGGAGTGTCGTAGTGGTCGCCTCCTCCATAGTTCAAGGGGTTGTGATAGTAATTGTCATGACTAGGTTCGTAGTCGGTCTCGTCGTAAGGACCTTGTGGTTCAAAGTGTGGATACTCTGGTTCGTAGTGGGGTGATGGTTTGTGATCCAGATATGGACGATGTTCGTGATATGGCGACCCGTGAACTATGTGTTCTGGTTCATAGTGTGGTTTGTAATGTATATGAGGATCATGACTCACATATTCTGGCTTACTATCATGATGGTCATAGATTTCGTGTGAATGGTGCGAAGCAACATATGGAGGAGCCTTGTGTATATGATAATGTTTATGCTTATTATAGACAATAGCTTTTTTGTATGAGAGCCAATCTTCAAGCTTGTGCACCAAAAAATTATTCGGAGTAACATGCAAATTCACAAAAGGTTTGACTTCCTTATTTCCATAATCATCCTTGGAGACTTGAACAGAAATCAAAGGATTGACAGATACCAAGCCCAGATTTATCCCTGTAGCTCCAATGGCGTGACCATAAGGATTGTGGTGGGGGTTAGGACCATATGGGTTGATGGGATATCCACCGCCTCCTTGTTGTGGTAGACCGAATGATACGCCGAATGTTGGTTTGATTTTCTTCATGTCAAAATTGGAGAATTGGCGCTGAAACAGTTCAGCCAAGCTTACTGTGTTGTTCATGATCGTTTTAGTAATCCAAATGAGTTAGGTTTTTAGTTGGAGGCGGTGGTTTAGTGACAGGAAGGAAAAACGAGCATAGATGTTATTTTTGCGTTTGTAGGCTTTATTTTAGTGCAAAGCCCTATAGAATAGATTTTCTAGACATACAGATATTAGGCATGTACCTTTTGACACTTGGGAGTGACATGTCAGTGGTTGAAAATCGTTCTTAACGAAGAAGGCGACCATTTTCAAAACTATGATTTTGTATAGTCGTTATTTTCAAGGCTTCCTTATTCCACTACTCTTTATTCATTCAATTGGTTGTTAAGTGTACAAAAAACGCATTCCTCAACAAAGCTCAAAATACATAATGATAACCAATCCATAAGAACATAAATGTTTTAATTCTGATCCAGAATGTACGTTCTTCAACGTTGCCTTCCATCGTTCTGTTTGTCAGTTCGTCTGTTGACGTTTCCATTGCCGCGTAGTATTAGTAGCTGATGCACAGTCTCTGAAGAATTTTGAGAAAACTTGGTAGGTGGTATAGAATTTGATAATATTCCTATACATCTTTCCATGCGAAGAAGTTTTGTTCTGGATATTTTCCAAGCTTTCGAACACTTTTAAACTAGTAAAATATGTTTTGGTACTCAAATATCTCGAAATGTGTTACATTTCTCTCATTGTTCCCCATGTAGATTTCTTCTAACATACTATCACAGTTTTGTGGGTTAGAAAATTTTCTTTTATAGAATATTACTACAAATTCCCGAATCCATAGTTTATTTTCGCTCAAAGGTTCAAGCGAGCATAACCTTGGAATTGAAAACTAAGAATCATTTATTATCCCTTCCCGTCTTTGAAATGCACGCTGCCAGAGCCGTCAGAAGCTAGATATCAAACGTCCAAAAAGGCGGTCATGGTAGAACAATGTTTAGTTAACAGTTACTATCATACCAAAAGTCACCATAAGCTTGAGTCAACCATTTAAAGTTAAACAGTTAAACACCACTAGTTCAGGTTATACAAAGAGATGCCTATTCAACAATCAGTAAAAAGGAATTACTTACCCCTTCTGGTTTTTCTTCTTCATCCCCACTCTTCTTCTCTACAGGAGCTTCACGCTTGCTAACCTTTTTCCCTTCTTTTTCCTTCTTGTCACTTCCCTCAGTAGCATTGAGACTGGCTCCTTTAGGAATACGTACCACAGTCATGTTACCATTTTCATCAGTAATGACCCTTTCTTCTTCGGCTTCAATGTCACTCTTCAGATTTCTCGGATCAATTGCCAGATAGAGGTCATCCTTACGGCCGATGACGTCATGGGTTGGACATTGGTTGTATGGAACACATACGCAGTCGAAATTCTCGTACCTGAAGGAGTACCTTAGGATTATGACTAATTTATTCAATATTTCTGATTTACTTATTATGTTTCCAATTTTCCTTTTTGTACATATACCCAGCTTTTTTTACTGCCACCTAAACAATTTTTGAACAAAATATCAATATTTTCTTGGAGTCTTAAGCTGTCATAAGCTTCTTTATGTTAGATAATGTTACAAAAAAAATCTCCGACTTTGGAATTCGGAACAGGTAAAAAGAGCTAGCATGGGAGTTCTTTTGATCCAAAATTGCGTAGTCAGTGGTCAGGATGCAAGGCTATCAGACTAAAGCCGCTAGTTTGACAGTTGTTGACATTTCGAATTAAATTCGTACTTTTCGGCAAACATATATAGAACTAATTAAGTTTCCCATACAGTTATAGCGTTCCAGACAACTGCCAAAACTGGTGATGGTTTTTGTGGATTGCAAAAAACTTTTAAGCTGAATAAAATCTTTTTACCGAATGTTAATACATTATAGCCATCGACGTTTCGAAAGCACATATACCTCAACATTGGGCTTTTACCTGGTCAGTTGAAAGGTAATTTTGATTCATTTCATCCCCTTTCTTGTCTCTTTGAGTGCTCAGTCGTTTAAAAAAATAGACCGAAAACATTGAAAATGCAAAATATTGGAAACAGATCAAAATATTTGATGGATACTGAGAAGGTTCAGCCGAAACTCTACTATCATTTTCAAATCAAAAAGTTCTTAGGTAAGGTTTTAACTTTCGCGTTACATATAGTAATTACACGTTTACCGAGTTTAGTCATTTTAGATTCTGTTGAGATAGCATGCCTGAAAAGTTCTATGAAAATCGAATTAATTAAATCACTTCCAGATCTTTTTATGGACCAACATAGTGACAATGATTTAACAGCAGCAATTTTGTTACTAGGATAAGCTAGGTATTTGCTTTTACCTTCTATATGTTTAGAAAAACCGAGTAACAGGTTACTGCTTTTTGATGAAGATTGTATTTTACATCTTCCAAAATCACGATTCATGCCAGAATTGTTCATACTTAGTTGCGTTAATTAATATGTATTTTCGTGCCTATATCAAAGTATAAACAGATACATGCACTTTCTGCCTTTTTTTATGTTTTACATTTAATAGGAGTTTTGGAATCATCCGAAAGACATTTTCTTTAAACACTAACCTGGAAGACTCGAGACCTTGGTATTTGTCAGCGTAACTGGATTGGATGAAGTTGTTGTTCAGAGGGTTAAGATTCAATTCCTTTTTGTATAAATCTGTAAAGAATGTTAAAATCAATATAGTTATTTAACAACTTTATTAGAATATCTTGATAATCCTGTAGTCTAAGATCTAATGCTATATTAAATCACAAGTGTGCATTTCATTTAAACTAGCTTTACATGCCTGAAGTCGATCCATAGGATCCAACTGATGTTCCAAAACTATCAAAGTTCTCCGTCACTGGCTTTATAACTCCAAAGGAGTTACCTCCTAAAGAAGATCCATAGTTAGCGATTTGCTGGCCACCATAAGAGCCTCCAAATGTTCCTGATATGGGTCCAATAATTGTTTCAGGTACTAGTGGGCTGAATCCTGAAGACACAGGCTTACCGAATGTTGCAGGTGATCCTAGGGGTGAGAGACTAGCAGTGACGGCGGCTGATGCAATTGGAATGGGGTTGATACCTAATATGCAATAACAATGGTTCAGTTACGAAAAGAATGTAAGTGCACACACCATTTAGTTGAATGACAAGTTTCAATTTATCGAAATAAGTATGCCAATATACGTAACTTGCGAAATTGCGAAATTTAACCCCCCTTGTCATTTTCTGCGGGGATTCCCGAAGCATAGCCTATTTTTTTAAATTCAGCTGCAATTGTACCCAAGGGTTCCTGACAACTTCAGTCGCAAAACCATCTGTAGGAACACCTGATTCGGGCATTTTGAGAATATTATTAATAAAACATATTTCCCATACTTCTATTCTAATAATGTACAAACATGTAACTTTTCAGTATCCCCAAAAGTCAAGATTGCTCTACCTACCAACTGTAGGCTTTCCATCTACGTTGTGGTGGAAATGATGATGGACGTGCTCTACAGCTGCTCCGTTTGCAGTTGTTGCGGCTCCAGGTGCTGTCACAGCTCCACCTTGAGCATTAACGGTTATTTCAACTCGCTTGTCCTTATGGGCAGCAGTATCGAATTTGTAGGGACTCTCGGAAGTTACAGAGAATCCACCATATGCTCCTGGTGGTTTGGAGAGGTAATCTCCTCCTACAACAGAACAAATTGGATACAACCTATTATCATTGTTAAAAAAGAGCTGTAGAAGATTCAGCACTTGGACGCACAAGTGTCCTCTGGCTTTTTGTTGGAACATCTTGGTGAGAACAACGATGTTTTCTCTGAAATTCTAAGGAAACTTGTTCTATGGAATTCATGTTCATTGTCTGACCGAATGTTTTTATTCCTGTTTATGTTAAATGTATAATTAAAGAAGATAAAGACTACATAACAATGGAAGAAACATCAAAATCAGCTCCAAGTCAGCATGTATGGAAAACAGGGCATGAAGTCTCCATAATGCACAAAGAGGATAACAATCATCGTATCTAAAGTTAAACAATTGTCTCTCTAGGTCTTCTGTGGACTGTGACACAATTTAGTTGAGTATCCTTGAGGCAAGGATCTATATATTTTCCAAACCGACAGATGGATCATAAGTGCTTTACAAGTTTTTCCTTATGGTTTGTTATTCATTCTCAAATGCACAGATGTTTTACTTCGCAATCTCAAGACCAAACTGTTGAGTATTACTTTATTTTTTCTCAAGACAAACAACATGGTTCACTTTAACAGTCAAAGGAGTATTTCTCGCATTTCAGATCTATGAACAGTTAGCACCTAGTGAATAAAAAAACGTATGATTTCATGCTTTCTTGTCACTGACTTGTTGATTGATTTTGATACGTTCGTTAACAATTCTAGTTTGATTAGTGTTTTTGATAAAGATCAACATATTGATGGTATATGTAATATAGTTTTAATTTCGAAAACGGTACATCTAAAAGAAAAACTTTTCGAGTAAAATCAATCTGACTCTAAAATACTAATTCTAATTTTCTGCTGTGACGTACTATTTTTCTGTTTCTTCTCCAGACTTGCCGACATGACGAATATTCCAACGTGCTGGATGTGACAATGAATATGTACTCCGGCAAAATGAAAGTACCTTAGTTAAGTCTTGAGTTACCCTTCATGCTTCATTCTCAACATAAAAAATAAACAGAAACCTTTCTTATCTGAATCTTCAGCTCAAATCTTCTATTAAAGAATAATACTCACGAACTTACCTTCATAGAGCTCTCCACTAAGCCCGGGTTTTCCATAGAACGGTTTACTGGGTGGTGGACCGTAATGCCTACGTGGAGGTTTTCCATGGTAACCAGGTGGTGGAGGAGGCATAAACTTGTTTGGTGGAGGAGGCCCGAACTTGTTTGGAGGTCCAGGAATGTGGACTGGCTTAGCAGGTCCGTATCCAGCTCCCCCGCGCACGCCCTTTATGGGAATGGTTGGGATTGGTCTGCCAACTGGGTTAATAGCCACTGGTTGGGCGTACACCAGCTCTTCAGGGCCGATGAAGGGACGTTTGCCTTCTATGTTTTCACCACCATCGCACTAGAGGAACGAAAAGGATGTTTTAAATTTACTGGCAGAAGTTTTAGTGACATTGCAGATGTAATGTAGTTGATCTGTCTTCACTAAAAAGTAATTTTTGTCACCCCATAATAATATAGTGGCGCCTTCTAAAGTATTTTTAGCACTGAGTCGCTCTTTTTGAATGAAAAGTAAATTATTTGAAACTGTTACCATTACTCACTTGCACTAGTCCCAGATAACATAATCTGTCCTTGATTACATTCCTTGCTTGACCATCGTCTCCGTTTTGCAAAGCTTCCTGAACATTAGGATCAGCATATAATTCATCCAGTCCATCCAGGGCTCTTCCTTCTCTAGTGGATGTTAAAATATCATCCACTACCTGTAAAACGACCAAACACTAATTATAGTTTATTAATGTTTTGTATTAGTTTTCAGAAATTTGACTACTGATTGATTCAAGGAGCTCTCGTATTCTGAAGACTAGAGACTTGAGATAATGAATGATGAAATACCTACATATGGTTAATCAATAATATATTATTAAGGATACATATCATTTTATAAAGCCCAAACTTTATCAACAGATTCAAGCATTTATGCCAGTTTTCCGAATTTGTACTTTACTAAAGATATGAAACTTCGAACGCAATACTTTTATCATGCCTTACGCATTCTCTGACAAAAATGCATATATACTGATATATGCGCCTAATAACATTGTAAGTGACAAGGGTGAAACTTTCAAGAGAGCCATTTCAACTTGTCAACAACTTCAGCCGACCTTTTCAGCATCTAAAATAGTAACGTGGCGTATAGTTTATGTACCACTGTTAATGTTGATTATCAATTAATATATTGCTTCAGAAATTCTAAGAAAAAAATTTGGGAAACATCAAAATTAGGTAATCACTCAAGAGTTTGAAATTATAGATTACCTTTTCAGCCTCTGTGGAGTTCAGTTGTACGGCAGTCTCAAGGTTGTCACTGGGTAGCGCTTGAAACAGATCAAATTGTTGGTTTTCTGTGAGTTGAGATGAGCTGGGAGCAGGATTTGATTCAGATTTTTGGTTGTTCCATGACCAGCCATTTTCCTGAGCAGATGTACATTGCACCAGCAACACTGCTGCTAGCAGTGTGGAAAGGTGCATTTCTAAAATTAAACAAATACCAAATAACTTTCTACAAATATCCCAATTGATGAATAATACTCGCGATCACCACAGAGCTCAAATGAAAAAGTTCACTTGAAAGAACACACAAGCATAGGACTTTTTTAGTTGAATCTTATTCATCTGTTTCAATTCAAACTAGAAGGCAAAATTTTTAATCATGGAAGGGATAACGTTTTCTCATCCACCCGTTTGTGTTATGGGGTTTGCAACTTTATAACTACGTTGCAGCTTTTCAAAATTTGTGTAGCAAATTAAAATTTCTCTTTCGTCAAAGGTGTAATTACCAGACGAACCATCGATATTCAAAACGAAAGCGGATTGTTTTGTTTTTGAATCATCAACCTTGATATTTTGGCAGTATTATATAAGCTATATGCAAATGAATGGTAATTTTTCAGCTTAAGAAATTATACATGTGTTCACATGAGTCACATAGTGATCGTAATATACTGGAAGAAAGCATTGTAGAAAGTAAAAGCGTCTGTTCTACTTTGCAATTTGACTCCTACTCACGCATGTTAATGTATGACATTTGAAACAGCAAAATTTCACATAATATTGGAAAAAACTGCTTTCTTGCAAAGCAGTGGGTGGACCTTTAATCTATCGCTACTTGAGAGAGGTATATAATTCAGTAATCGTGCGTATCTGTATGCAAAATTTATGAAAAGACAGCTTAAATCTTTCTATCGTGAAGGTGGTACGGCACGTTTTATGTCATTATAACATGGTATGGACTTGTTTGTACTAGTATGATGCTATAGGACAGCCTTCGGCCATAGTTTCGAAAATTCTCAACAGTCTTCGATTTTGATAATCTCTCTACAATATTTGGTCGAATTATATGCTACATGACTGTATTTTTGTATTCAGGATCAACAATGTTTTTTGTAAGAGTTGGGACAACTAGTTGTGATATTTTTTTGTGCCGTATTCGTGTCGTATTCGATATTTTCAATAATAAGCAAACACATCTTGACGGATATTTTTTATTTTTTTTTTTAAGAGAAATATTGGTTTTATAATATAGGTGTTGTGTGTATAAGTCCAATATGGTACTAACTGCATTGCTTTCTATGGTATCTCACGTATGGTTAAGGTAGTTCTTCGCGTTTTACACGATCATTATAATTTAAGTGATATCTATTTTCTGATGATAGTATGGACTTGTATGTTGTATGTTAGAAAATAACTTTTCGCAAATGTAATAAGCATGCGGGCACACTCGGAGATCTCTCAGAATAATACTTTTATGTCCAACTAAATTTTATCATTTTGGTTTAGAGAACAGTGGCCAAGGCGCTCGATTTAATAGAGGATTTGGTACTTGTACATGGTGGATGAACACTATATCCATTAGTTTTCAAGATGTGTTGATAATTGGCTTTAAATCGGCGAACCACAGACAATACCTTGCAGATACGAACAATTCTCAGCATAGTCATGGACAAATTTGACATTGAAACAGACAATTACATAGATGATCAAAACTCTTTTATTTGTAAAGCATACTTAGCCCAAAACGTTTGAGTTTCATATGTGCCGGACATGTTAAAATCATGGATCCCTTTTTCATTATCCACTTATATTTACAATTGATGCCCTTTAATTGAAATAATGTGTTATAAAAAGGAAGTTTACTAAGTATTCATGTAATTAACTTGTTCTAATCGCTATTGAAAAGAATACCGTTGTTTAGCTGGTGAAATAGCTTTCTCACTACAAATTTATTATGATAATGAGATTTTCTCTTCGATTAGTATGCTGAAAAGCAAATTTGATTTTTTAACATTTTTTACATTTAACAGAAGAAACATTAACGCATTTAAAACACTTCCCACCAAATATGCGTTTCTAA